AGTCTTTGACTCAGAGTAATACCAAGTCCTCTCTGTACAAAAGTAAAAGTTTGGTAAGTATATTTTATGAATTACTCTCCAAGTTAAGCAATACCTTTTCCTTTGAACCCTGGTTTAATTCTGTTGCAACCAACATTAGCTCCGAAATGAAAGTACTATAGCTTGTAATCTGTTCACTGACTCCTGTTTTTTTTTTAATTATCGTCAAGAGGTGGAGCTTGAAAGTGGTTGCGAACAGACTACACGACTTCCCCAAAGTGCGCTTATTTGAACTTCATTTGTGCTTCCTCATTACTTTATGTTTATCATCATCATAACTTTTTTTTTGGCCTGTAGTGAACTAACGTTCTTACATTTTCCTTGCAGCCCCGACAGACACTAAAAACAAATTCCAAACATAAAGAGGTGGTAAGTTCCTCTAACATTGTCATTAATAAACTCTTAAATGATTTGTCAATAACACACCACTCTTGCGTAAGCCCTTCAACGTATTATGAATCTATTATAGTTATCTTGTTCAGTTTTCACTGTACCCCCACCAGTATGCAGTGACTGACAACATGTAAGATTATAACCACAAACAGGGTTCATTTATTGTGGGATTGTAGAAGAATAATTACTGGGTTTTTTTTCCTTTTTTCGATTTAAGACAAACGGAAACTACTTCTCCCAACATGATCCATCCGGGTGGAGAAATTTTGCATCCTTAAATAGCAGAGCCTCATCACTAGCGTTACAAGAGGTATGTTTCTCCGCACAGGAGGAGGGATTTACCGGAGGTCTGGCACTAGACTCCTTGCAGACCTCTCATCCGCGAACGAAGAGACCCTCGTGCTGCCGGAAGCGCTAATAATGATGGCCTTTACATGACAAAGTATATTCATAATTTAATACCCCAGGTGTTACTTATCTAGTATGTAGGGTGGCGCTTAGTAAATTAGCTCTTGTGGATTTCTTTTCTTAACAGGGAAACAGTCCAGTTATCGAAGCCATAAATAACCAAGTCCAGTCGTTGATAACCTGCAGACGATTTCTAGGTACCAGACGTTACCCAGCCAGAACATGCCGAGACCTGAAGCAACTTGAGCCTAATGTTACCAATGGTAAGGCAACATCATATTTTTTTTTAAGAATCAAATGAACTGTTGTACGAAGAAAACTTTGCAACTTTTTTTTGTTCTTCACAATTGTAATAATATCTGACAGATAATTGATTTATTTATCAAGGTCACTTCTGGATCGATCCCAATGGTGGGCCAGTGGATGATGCAGTCCGAGCTTATTGTGATTTTCACTTTAACGCAACATGCATTCATCCAAAAAAGAGTAAGGTAAGGAGGAAATCATATTATTACACAGTCCTTATTTCTTATAACAAACTTAACATGTATGTTTGCTAAAAGGGTGTAGCAAAATTTGCATGAGTAACTCCATGTTTTTTCCGACACAGACAGAAAACAAGAAATGGTTCTTTGGACCTGACGGGTACAAGTGGTTTTCTAAGGAATTTGATGATCTACCCCAGGTACACACATAATCTTTGATTTACACCTTCGGCGAATTCTTAAGATTTATAAAGCCGTGACAAACAGCTTCACCGAGCCTGTAATATTGACGCTAATTTTTTTCTCATTCCAACAAAAAGCAGTCATTTGTTTGGTTTGAGCGCTACAGGTTATTTTTAGAGCAGGTGGGCGAACTTACACCGGTTAATTTTTCGACATCATTTTTTTATGTAACAGTTTGGTCCAGGTGTTATATTGTTATCTGTTTTGTTTGTTTGTTTTTGTTTTGTTTTGTTTTGTTTTGTTTTTGTTTTGTTTTTGTTTGTTTTTATACGACCCGTTTAGTTCCGGTCTTGCAGTCCTGGGGAAAGACGGGTTATGCAATAGTGTAATTTGATCGTCCGGGTGAGTGTAGTCCTGAGAAAGACTGTTGTCGGTAGTGGCGACTGACGTTTCGACAACCTGAGCGGAAGTCATCATCAGAGTCAAGTGAATGGCTGTTGTCAGTCGAATGTACTTAGTCTGGTTTGTATAAACTGATTGGTCAGTTTTGTCGTGATGTTTTGGCTGTAAGACTCGAGTGGCGTAGGTCAGTCGTGATTGATCGGTCTCGATCAGTTAGTGACGTTAAGTCGTTCTGTTCGGTTCGTTTGTAATGTTAATGTCGTGAATGAGTCGTTTGTATGGTGCCGGTAGGGTTGACGCCTGTTGAGAGGAGTCTGTTCCAAGTTCGTAAACCAGCTTTCCAGGGTTAGTCGTTGAAAGTAGTTGGTGCTGTAGGTTAGGCATTGCGCAGAGTCCCAGTCAATAGTGTGGTTCGTAAGTCGGTGATGTTCAGCAATGTGATTGTTGACATCGCCTTTCCTCGTCGCTCGTTTGTGTTCAGTCAGTCTAGTTGTGGTTTCCGCCAGTCTCACCGATGTAGGAGGTGTGGCAGTCGGAGCAATCGATCTTATACACTGCTCCCTGTCTGTTCATCTTATGACCCGCGTAGCTCTCTTCATGCAGTCCTGGAGAAAACCATAATAAAAACTGACGTGTGTAGGGCTAGATGGGTTATATTTTCTTTTCACTTATGACCCGAGCAGCTCTTTTCATGCAGTCTTGGGGAAAACCATAATAAAAACTGACGTGTGTAGGGCTAGACGGGTTAACGTGAGCCTGTTCGGTAAGAGCCATCAGGCACCGCACTCACACGGCTCTGTTGCAGTTTCCAAGAACAGGAATTAGAATTTTACACTTAACGCTAAAGAAAAACAGAATTGATGAAATGTGTCGCATTTTTCGATAAATTGGAACTGTCTTGTTCTGTCACGAAGAAGTACAGGAAAACTTTTTATTGCATAATCGTTTTCGTGTTTTTTCAGGGCGCACCCTTTTCGTATATATCATTGCTTACTCACATCAGCAACATGGGAAAGGGATTATAAAAAATGTTTTATTACATTCGCGCGATGTTTTGCTTTAAAGTAGTGTCTATAATCCGCTTAATTTGAGCATAAATGAAAAAATATTTCAGGTGAGTCGAGTAAGTGTAGCACAAAGAAACTATTTACTCATTGTTCTGCCGAAGGAAAACGTTTTCAATGCCACTCAGCAGAGGCAGTCACAGTCAGTGAAAATTAAGTTGATTAATTCCCTTTTGTCTTTGCAGTTTGTTTATGACTGCGACCCAATTCAACTGACATTCCTTCGGCTGCTAAGCAACCGCGCAAAACAGGTCATCACCTATCATTGTTTAAACTCCTCTGCCTGGTTCAAGCAAAGTACTGGGAGCTATGAATATTCCATTAAGCTTAAAGCAGAAAATGGAATTGAGATTTACGCTCAGGGAACCATAAAATACAAACCTACCATACTTCTTGACGAATGCAAGGTACGAGTTAATTTAGTAATTCTTGTTACGTTTCGTTGCCGGCTCACTTTGCATGTGACTGCTATGCAAAAGGTGTCATGGTTATTAATCATATAACCACTTTGTGAGACGCAGATAATACAAACAATCACGAAAGAAACCTGAGAGTAGTCTGTACAGAAATTAAAATCTACTCCTATTGGAATAAAACAGGAAGCGTTACCTGTCATGTTATCCTTTACTGTTCAGTTTAAGGTTATATAATCCGTAAGAACGTATAATAGGTATTTGTGTGTATCGTTTGCGAGATAGTTTGTGTAAATTGAGTTTCTTTTGCGTTCACTACAATATTTGAAAAGATGTTATTTTGAATTTGAGATGTTTATAACGTGTTATTAGTATTCCCTTGTGTTATTGAAGCCATTTGCGATGTTTCCATAGTCGTTTTCTTCTTTTCAACTTGTAGATTAAAGATGGTGCATGGCGTAGAACGATTTTGGAGGTCAATACTTCTAAAACACACAGACTTCCAATAAAAGATGTGGCAGTACATGATGTTGGAGATACTGGAGAAGAGTTTGGTCTTGAAATTGGTCCTGTGTGCTTCTCGTGACGATGCGAATAAAAACAAGAATAAATAAACCATAGGAATCGGAAGACAGAAAGAAACTCTGTCGACTCTAAAATTTACTGCAGTGAAAAATCACTTCATTTTTAGATTTTAAAAAACTCCTGTTAAGGTATTATCGAAACATATGGTTATTAGTTTGGTACGCGAAAGTGTCAGATTTTAAATAAACGGATCAGAATGTTTCAACAATTGGCCAGCTTCTCTTCTTTCTGCTCTAAGGGGTAGGTATTTGCAATTCCCTCTCGCTGGTTCTAATTTGAGGGGATCGGACTTATTGGCCCTCGAGTGGTGACGGTTGGTACTCGAGACCGGTTCAAATGACCAGCCTGCCCTATTTTTGCGTTATTAGGAATAGTACGAGAAACAAAATACGGTCGATTTACTACGATAAATATGTCGAAATATGAATATTCCACACGTAAAATCGATAGAACTTATGTCTGTTGTAGTTTTTGGCAATTTCTGCCGTTTTAAGCATGTTTTGCCACCACTGTTACTCCTGTTATAAGACGAAGTTATGCCTGATGTGTACCTAACATTGTGTTTATACGACCGATGATTAAGTAAAACGGTATGGAAACTACACAACTTGGCAGGAGTCAGAAGTTGTAACAAAGTATTGGGACGTTTGGGGGCAGATGGCTTGAACAACTGAACTCTCTGAGAGAAGAGCACCAGAAGTCTTGCATCTCATAGCATCTTGCATAGCTTCTTGTTTAATGTACCGCTGCCTGTTGTTACAACGTCTACTAACTTCACCAACAATTCCAACTTCCACTACTATTGCCAAAAAGCTTAGCACTTATATTATCATTTGGTTGTGTTTTCTTAACTATGCGAGATAGATGCACATATAGCGACGTGTATAGCACATATAACGCACTAACCGCTGATTTAGAGATAACCCAAAGGGCTAAGATAACACCCACAGATGTGAACCTCGAGCTGTTAGAAAGTCCAACAGTTTCATCCAAATAAAGCGCTTAAAATCGCATGCGTATTTGGTAAACACTTAACCAACGGATAGCGATTTATCCAGTAATTAGCACCACCTAGCCTTTGAACAACCGAGGCCTGGCGGGTAGCACAAGGTTTAATTTTTTTACAAGTTTTGTCGGTTATTTTATTATTATTTCAGCCGTGACTGAACGGGAAAAAAAAGAAAAAAATTTAAAGCCCGTGAAAAATAATAATTATGGCTTATTTCACATCATATTTTGCTATTTTGATAGAGGGATGGTCTAAATGCGAACAACTATTTTTGTTACTACCTTTTCAATCTCTACATTTTGTACAAAACTTTTGTATTAATTGCGAGGCCCTTCTGTATTTTGTCTTGGAGGAAAAATGAAGAGAACCCAGATGTTATTTTGCCGTTTGCGTTTTACCATAACAAAACGTGCCCCTAGTGATTGGTGCTAATTAGAAAAATCGTGCGCGCTAAAAGCCCGTGCAGTTAGACGAGCCATTCAGGGAAGAGCTCAACAACCCACGACGAACGACTACGACAAAAATTGAAGTTTTCTTACCTCCCTATCAGTATCTGCATTTTGTGCAAAACTTTTGTACTCTTTGTGTGTCAGTCAGGTTTCAACACGCGAACGCTTCAAGATTTATTTGCATTTGTTGCTAAAAAGGAACAAGCAATTACAAATTATTACGAAGGAGAAGGAATAGGAAAACGCTAAACAACAGAGGAAATTGGACAAGGAAAGACACTTACAAACGTTGTGTGACTTGTGAGCACGAATAACAGAAAAACTAAAAGATGATCGCAGTGAAGGAATCGATGTTAACCCTAATGCACTCTGATACTCCTATGTTCAATTGCTTTTCTGAGAAACTTTTACGAAAGAAATTAAACAAAGCAGAATCATGCGAAAAAATCTAACAGATTACAAATCGCCGTGAGTGAAAAGAATGCGAAAACAATACGAAAAATGTGCGTGCAAAAACACAAAAATGTAATTAGGAACGTAAATGGAAGAAATCACTAAGTGGGAATGCCGCAGTATCAGTTGCGAGGCCCTTCTGTATTTTGTCTTGGAAGAAAAATGAGGGAACGCAGATGTTAATTTGCCGTTTGCGTTTACCACAACAGAATGTGCCTTTAATGAGTAGTGCTAATTAGATAAATCGTGCGCGCTAAAAACCCGTGCAGTTAGACGAGCCATTCAGGGAAGAGCTCAACAACCCACGTGCACGCATAAGTTTTAAAAGGCGCACTTTTGAAATTATCACAAGCATAGAGAAATTCTACTTCAGTGATCAATTCTTGTCACAATTTTAGCTCCTACACAGTTTTTTCTCCCTTGGAAGCTCTCTTTCGTTTCTCGCTTTGTCAAACTTAAGAACACTCATCATTTCTGGCAACGGACGAAAGCAGGTAAGCGTTTATCGACGCTTATAGAAACATGTAAAACTGTGTAAACTAATTCTAAGAGAAGCTGAGGCATTCAAGAAGGGCTCCAGATCGAAGCTTCGTTTTATTTAATCCTTTCATTCTTTCCAGTCGCTCGTATTTCCGCCCAGGAGCTGTCAATAACTTAGCAGTAGAAATTCTATTGCGTAATTTTTTTTTTGCAAAATTGGCTTCCTTGAAATTCTTCTTTGAAACTGTTTTCGCGCATAGGGTAAAATTTCCGCACAGCTCAATCCTACATTATGCATTCAGTTCTTGAACAGAGAAAACAATGACAAAAACAATACATTTCCATTGGGAAAACAGATTTGTTTTACAATAGTAAGGGGCTGTGCGGAAACTTTACCGCGCGGAGTACCATTTCTAATCTTTCATCTTCTTTGCTGAAATTCAGCGTAAACAATGTAAAGAAAGCGTGGTTCGTGCTGTCTTTAATTTTAATTAGTTACAAGTTTGAAGCGAAACTCAGTGTTTCAAGTGATGCATATAAATTTTGATGGTGAGTATATCTAAAGCTTGTTCATAGAGGCACTTGGTTTGAACATTGTGCGTAAAATAGAGATGACGAGTGAATTAAGGAAATATTTCAATTGACTTCCTTAGCAGATTCCGAGAATTTCCTTCGTCTCAACCCTTAAATTCCAAGATCAGATCGTCAATTCTCCCCTTTGGCTGCCAAACATGTCCTTCCAATTAGTTACAAGAATTTGATATCTTATCAATATAACAACATCTAGGAGATAAATTTGAGTATTCTCACTTCCTGTTTGCTGGATAATGTATAAATAATAGAGGGAGAAGTTACATTTTAATCACTTCTTAGACTTCAAGAGTTAACTGCTCGTTATGAAAAGTGAAAAATTAAGTTCACACTTCTGTTTTTTTTCCTTTTTAATCGAAACATCTGAATGGTAAAAATGTTAGTAATACGGGTTTTAATCAAAGAAGGTTTGTAAATTTCTGATATATTAGACGAAAGGGTTATAATAAG